TATGTGTGGAAGTATCGACGTAATTTCATAGAGTCATTCGGTCTGAATGCTACATGAAGAACATAAGCCAGATGACGGAACGGGAAGACCTAGGATGTAGAAGATCATAACATAAGTTATTCGGCAGATTTTGATTCCTATATATCCACTCGTGTGGTACTTCTACCATATATAGAAGAATTCTACGATATATATAAGATCCATCCGTATAGATATCATCATCTACATCCAGAAAGCCGTATGCTTTGTAAGAAGCTTGTACAGTTTGGGAAGGGGTTTTGATTGATCAAAAAGAAGAATCTACTTCAACCGATATGCCCTTAGGCACGGCCATACATAATATAGAAATCACACTTGGAAAGGGTGGACAATTAGCTAGAGCAGCGGGTGCTGTAGCGAAACTGATTGCAAAAGAGGGGAAATCGGCCACATTAAAATTACCTTCTGGAGAGGTCCGTTTGATATCCAAAAACTGCTCAGCAACAGTCGGACAAGTGGGAAATGTTGGGGTAAACCAGAAAAGTTTGGGTAGAGCCGGATCGAAACGTTGGTTAGGTAAACGTCCTGTAGTAAGGGAGTAGTTATGAACCCTGTCGACCATCCCCATGGATGTGGTGAAGGGAGGGCTCCAATTGGTAGAAAAAAACCCGTAACCCCCTGGGGTTATCCTGCACTTGGAAGAAGAACTAGAAAAAGGAAAAAATATAGTGAGATTTTGATTCTTCGTCGCCGTAGTAAATAGGAGAGAAAATATAATTTCTTTCTTCGTCTTAAAAAAAATAGGAGTTAATTAACTGTGACACGTTCACTAAAAAAAAAATCCTTTTGTAGCAAAGCATTTATTAAGAAAAATAGAGAAGCTTAATACAAAGGCGGAAAAAGAAATCATAATAACTTGGTCCCGGGCATCCACCATTATACCCACAATGATAGGCCATACTATCGCTATCCATAATGGAAGGGAACACTTACCCGTTTATATAATAGATCTTATGGTAGGATATAAATTGGGAGAATTTTCACCTACTATAAATTTTCGAGGACATGCGAAAAATGATAATAGATCTCGTCGTTAATTAAACGAATTTAAAAAAATGAATATAGATTTTTTTTTAGTGAGAGGTAAACCTTATGATAAAAAAGAAAAAGAAGAAATCATCTACTTCGGTATATGCTTTAGGGCAATATATATCTATGTCTGCCCACAAATCACGAAGAGTAATTGATCAAATCCGTGGACGTTCTTACGAAGAAGCACTTATGATATTAGAACTTATGCCTTATCGAGGATGTTATCCCATTTTTAAATTGGTTTATTCTGCAGCAGCAAATGCTAGTCACAATAAGGGTTTCAAAGAAACCAATTTAGTCATCAGTAAAGCTGAAGTTAACCAAAGAAATACTGTGAAAAAATTAAAACCTCGGGCACGAGGGCGGAGTTACCCAATAAAAAGATCCACTTGTCATATAACTATCGTATTGGAAGATATCTCCTTCTATGAACAATATGAAGAATATTTAATGTATTTAAAAAAACCTGGATACAGCAATGAAAACATAAATCTAACATGTTATGATACATATAGTAGTGGAGGCCTATGGGACAAAAAATAAATTCACTTGGTTTCAGACTTGGTACAACCCAAAGTCATCATTCTCTTTGGTTTGCACAACCAAAAAAGTATTCTGAAGGTTTAGAAGAAGATAAAAAAATACGAGACTGTATTAAAAATTATGTCCAAAAAAATATAAGAATATCTTCTGGTATGGAGGGAATTGCACGTATCTAAATTCAAAAAAGAATAGATCTCATTCAGATCATAATCTATATGGGATTTCCTAAATTATTAATTGAAGATAAACCACGAAGAGTCAAAGAATTACAGATGAATGTTCAAAAAGAGCTTAATTGTGTTAATAGAAAACTCAACATTGCTATTACCAGAATTTCCAATCCGTATGGGCATCCTAATATTCTTGCAGAATTTATAGCTGGTCAATTAAAAAATCGCGTTTCTTTTCGAAAAGCAATGAAAAAAGCTATTGAATTAACTGAACAGGCGAATACAAAAGGAATTCAAGTACAAATTGCAGGACGTATCGACGGAAAAGAAATTGCACGTGTTGAATGGATCAGAGAAGGCAGAGTTCCTTTACAAACAATTGAAGCTAAAATTGATTATTGTTCCTATACCGTTCGAACTATTTATGGGGTCTTAGGAATAAAAATTTGGATATTCGTAGACGAAGAATAAAAAAGCATTATTTGTCTTTACATTTTATCCAACGATAAAAAATGAAAACTATGTAGTACAACACTATACAGTACAGTAATAAAAAAAATTAAAGTATTCTTTGTTTATGTTTAAGAAAAAAAATAAGCAATTCTATAAGGTTGAATAAAAATTTTCATCAAAACTCTTTTGATACAATTGCTATGCTTAGTGTGTGACTCGTTGGTTTAGGATTCGATTAGATTAAGATAAAAAAAAAGAACTTACCTAAAAGAGCAACTAATAACTATAGCATTAATAAATAACCTAAGCAACTCATTGCTTCGCATTATCTGGATCCAAAAAAATCAGTCAAGATATGATAGGCTGATCATATCATTGTAACAACTGAATAAAAAAAAAAGAATAAATATGATTATAAGTTATGAAAAGTAATCGAAAAGTATGCGGATAAATGGAAGGATGAAAGAAAGAGAGAAAAAATTGAATATTAATGATATATGATTCCAATTTAGAAAGCCTATGAGGTTGCTGTAAGAAAAGCAATGTAATAAAGCATTAATACGGATTTATTCATAAGAATTAGATAAATCTGTTCCGAAAACAAAAAATGAAGAGCCTTGAGCCAATAAAAACTGAGAAAATTGACTCAAAAACAAATAAAAAAGGAAATTAAAAATTTCATGTAAGAGCTCCATTGTAGAATTCGGGCCTAATGATTAATCAAGAAGCGATGGGAACGACGAAACCCATGAATATAGAGGATTCTAGTGAAAAACAAATTTTAGTAATTCATTGGACAGGATGGCGGAATAAACCAGAAACTTTATTATCTATTCTTATTTTGATTCTGAGACCTCGGGGGATAAACATCAAACTTAAATAGATATTGAAAGAGTAAATATTCGCCGGCGACAAATTAGTATTTTTTTTTCAAATAAAAAAAAGTAATAAAATATAAAAAAATATATATAAAAGAAAATAAGAATTTGTTAGAATATTCTAACTCTAACAAAAACTACATTCGAAATGATGATATTACGTTATTTTTAAATAAATCGAAATAGAATTCATCTTGGGTTCTATTTCGAAAAATAAATACACAAATTTATAAGAGATAAGATTAAATTAAAAAAAATACCATTATTAATAGGATTAATCATTAACTAAATCTATATCTTAATTAGTACTTTTATTCGCGAGGAGCTGGATGAGAAGAAACTCTCACGTTCAGTTCTGTAGTAGAGATGGAATTTCTAATTTAGAAAAAACCCATCAACTATAACCCAAAAAGAACCAGATTTCGTAAACAACATCGAGGAAGACTAAAAGGAATATCTTCTCGTGGGAATCGTATTTGTTTTGGTAGATATGCTCTTCAAACACTTGAACCCGCTTGGATCACATCTAGACAAATAGAAGCAGGGCGACGAGCAATGACACGAAATGTACGACGTGGTGGAAAAATTTGGGTACGTATATTTCCAGACAAACCAGTTACAGTAAGACCCGCGGAAACGCGTATGGGTTCTGGGAAAGGATCCCCAGAGTTTTGGGTAGCTGTAGTTAAACCAGGTAAAATCCTTTATGAAATGGGTGGTGTACCCGAAAATATAGCCAGAAAAGCTATTTCAATAGCGGCATCAAAAATGCCTATAAAAACCCAATTCATTATTTCTGAATAGGAATATATAATGAAAAAGCTAAATAACTAAAAAGATTATAAGTTTTATTTTTTTGACAAACAATATTTTTTTCCTTCGTCCTTTGCATTAAAAGAAGAGATACAAAAAAATGATATGATTCAACCACAAACCTATTTGAATGTAGCAGACAACAGCGGGGCTCGAAAATTGATGTGTATTCGAATAATAGGAGCTAGTAATCGCCGCTATGCTCATATTGGTGACGTTATTGTTGCTGTAATCAAGGAAGCAATACCAAATACTCCTCTAGAAAGATCAGAAGTGATAAGAGCTGTAATTGTACGTACTTGTAAAGAACTCAAACGTAACAATGGGACGATAATACGATATGATGATAATGCCGCAGTTGTCATTGATCAAGAAGGAAATCCAAAAGGAACTCGAGTTTTTGGGGCGATCCCACGGGAATTGAGACAATTAAACTTTACTAAAATAGTTTCATTAGCTCCTGAGGTATTATAAGACCTAACTATCGATAGTTAGTATAGAATAGGATTAAAAAAAAGGTATTGAAATAAAATGAATTAATAGATTGTGTATCACGCATATACCCTTAATAATTATATATTAATAATTGAATTCATATATTAATATATAATTCGTCTTAAGAACATGTTGATTATATTAAAATTAGAGAACAATAAGGAATTTTAACTTATCATGGGTAAAGACATTATTGCTGATATAATAACCTCTATACGAAATGCTGACATGAATAGAAAAGGAACGGTTCGGATAAGATCAACTAACATTACCGAAAGCATTGTTAAAATACTTTTACGAGAGGGTTTTATCGAAAACGTAAGGAAACATCTCGAAAACAACCAATATTTTTTGATTTTAACCCTAAGACAGACGAAATATGAAAGAATCCTATAAAACTATTTTAAATTTAAAGAGAATAAGTCGACCGGGTCTACGAATCTATTCTAACTCTCAACGAATTCCACGAATTTTAGGCGGAATAGGAATTGTAATTCTTTCGACTTCTCAAGGTATAATGACACACCGAGAAGCTCGACTAAAAAGAATCGGCAGAGAGATTTTGTGTTATATATGGTAATCCTTCTAATATAAAAATTGGATATCCGGAACTTACCATTTGTGAAAAACCGGGGTTGTGTAATACCACCTCTACTAAAAAAGTTTATAATGTTTTACCTCGAATAAAATTAAAGAAAAAAAAATGAATTAATGAAAGTTTTATTTCTGAATCACTTCCGAACGGCATGTTTCGATTTTGTTTAGATACTAAAGATTTTTTTGATTTTAGGTCATGCTTCTGAAAGGATTCGACATATTTTTGTATAGGTATACCCGTAGTAGGAAAGGGGTAAAGGTTTTAGTAAGTTCTAAGGTATAACTTAATCGGGGGACAGCTATTTTATAGACTCCATAACAAGGATTCAAATGGGTAAGGTGTTTTTTCAATTTCAACATTCCTTTCACGAAGATACAATTAAAGATTCAAAAATATCAAGAAACCTTTTTTGTCCAACAATAAGTATATTAAGAGAATTAAGGAATAACAAATATGAAAATAAGGGCTTCCGTTCGTAAAATTTGTGAAAAGTGTCGACTAATCCGTAGGAGGGGACGAATTATAGTAATTTGTTCCAACCCGAGGCATAAACAAAGACAAGGATAATCTTACTAAAGTAAATAAAGGAAAGGAAAAGGTACTTCCAAGGAGCTGGCAAAAAAAAAAAGGCTGTTTTGACATGAAATGGATATATCCATATATTTCTTGTGAAATGAAAAAATATGGCAAAACCTATATTAAGAATTGGTTCACGTAAAAATACACGTAGTGGTTCACGTAAAAATGTACGTAGAATACCAAAGGGAGTTATTCATGTTCAAGCAAGTTTCAACAATACCATTGTGACCGTTACAGATGTACGGGGTCGGGTGATTTCTTGGTCCTCCGCGGGTACTTGTGGATTCAGAGGTACAAGAAGAGGAACGCCTTTTGCTGCTCAAACCGCAGCAGGAAATGCTATTCGAGCAGTAGTGGATCAAGGTATGCAACGAGCTGAAGTAAGAATAAAGGGCCCTGGACTGGAAAAGATGCAGCATTACGAGCTATTCGTAGAAGCGGTATACTTTTAAGTTTCGTACGAGATGTAACCCCTATGCCACATAATGGTTGTAGACCCCCTAAAAAAAGACGTGTATAGAACTAAATAAAGGCTGAAAGGGTTTCAAGAGAAATAAACGATTCAATGATCTGATCAAATAAAATTACTATGGTTCGAGAGAAAGTCAAAGTATCTACTCGGACACTACAGTGGAAGTGTGTTGGATCAAAAAGAGACAGTAAGCGTCTTTATTATGGACGCTTTATTCTGTCTCCACTTATGAAAGGTCAAGCCGACACAATAGGCATTGCGATGCGAAGAGCTTTACTTGGCAAAATAGAAGGAACATGTATTACACGTGCAAAATCTGAGAACATACCACATGACTATTCTAACATAGTAGGTATTCAAGAATCAGTACATGAAATTTTAATGAGTTTGAACGAGATTGTATTAAGAAGCAATCTATATGGAACGTGCAATGCGCTTATTTGTGTCCAAGGTCCCGGATATATAACTGCTCGAGACATAGTTTTACCACCCTCTGTGGAAATCATTGATAATACACAGCATATAGCTACCTTAACGGAACCAATAGATTTGTGTATTGAATTACAAATCGAGAGGCATCGCGGATATAGTCTAAAAATGTCAAATAACTTTGAAGACCAAAGTTATCCTATAGATGCTGTATTCATGCCTGTTCAAAACGCGAATCATAGTATTCATTTTTATGGGAATGAGAATGAAAAACAAGAGATTCTTTTTCTAGAAATATGGACAAATGGAAGTTTAACTCCTAAAGAAGCACTTCATGAAGCCTCCCGGAATTTGATTAATTTATTTATTCCTTTTCTACATGTAGAAGAAGAAACTTTCTATTTAGAGAACAATCAACATCAAGTTACTTTACCCCTTTTTCCTTTTCATAATAGATTAGTTAACCTAAGAAAAAAAAAAAAGAACTAGCATTTCAATATATTTTTATTGACCAATTAGAATTGCCTCCCATAATCTATAATTGTCTCAAAAAGTCCAATATACATACATTATTGGATCTTTTGAATAACAGTCAAGAAGACCTTATCAAAATTGAACATTTTCATATAGAAGATGTAAAAAAGATATTAGACATTCTAGAAAAAAATAGAAAAAACACTAAAAAAAACTTTTTACTAAAAAGTAAATTTGAAATTGAAATGGATTTTAAACCTTCAACGTAATTTCTATTTTCCAGCCAAACCCTTTTTAATTAATTAAATTAATTAGATATGTATCTAGGGAGAATTCATTTTGAAATGACTACTCCCTAGATACCCATGTCTTTTATTTTACAATTGAATAAATTTAATTAAAAAAGACCTAAAGTTAGAGATTTATCAATTGGTAATCTTGCTCCAATACCAAACCATAGGGCCACCACGGTGCCAATCAAAAAGACGGTTGTCGCTACTGGACGACGAAATGGATTTTGGAACTTATTAACATTTTCTAAAAAGGGTACGGTTAATAATCCCGCTGGTACTGAAGCCATTAAAAGAACACCCAATAATTTGTTAGGCACTGTACGAAGTATTTGAAATACAGGAAAAAAATACCATTCAGGCAATATTTCCAAAGGAGTTGCAAAAGGATCCGCGGGTTCACCAATCATTGATGGTTCTAAAACCGCTAAGCCTACGTTACAGGCAATGGTACCAAGAATGACTACTGGAAAAATATATAAAAGATCGTTGGGCCATGCGGGTTCTCCGTAATAATTATGACCCATACCTTTAGCTAATTTCGCTCGTAATACAGGATCATTCAAATCTGGTTTTTTTTGTTATTGGGATAGGTGAATTCTTATGGATCCATCCCCCGGGGGAACCGGACATGATAATTTTTCATCATCCGGCTCGAGCAAGAATTAACTAAAACTAAATTAATATATACAAAAAATATATATGTTATCCATAAGTATTTAATATGTAAAAAAAAAATTATCCAATTCCAAACTTATTGCAACTAAAGATTGCCATACATTCCATTCTTACAGGTAAATACTCAACACCCACGTAAGCTTAAAAGTTGACCATGATTAAGTGCTTTCTGGATCGTCTCATACCTTATCAATTCATCCTGAATCTCAAAAATTATATCGAGATTTTTCAAATACAAAGGATTTACTTGTTACTAATGAAGTCTACCCTCTACTCTTCATTAGATCCTGTATTTACTCCGATAGTATCATAAATCGAGTCGATGCAGAGGAAATGAATGCATTTACATACTATTAATTTATTTTTTTTAGTAAAAAATAGCTAAAAACATAATCAGGATTATGTTCAATCCCTTAATCTACTGGATTTTACGGAGCCCACTCATCCACGACATCGTCGGGTATGATCATAGAAAAGATTCTCTTCAAGTGAATCAGCCTATCCCCTGTATGAGGCTTACACAGTGGTTGGAACAAAGACACATTTGGTTGTGAATTCCAATGTAGCAGATAAAGTCATATTTCTGCACGGCTCGATCAATAGTTCAAGTCACACACTCCCATAATCCATTTTCTCTTCATAGAATTCCCTTCAACTTTTTATATTAAAAAAATAATACAATATTGTGGAGTTGAAGGGAAATATCCAAATACATGTCTTATTTTTTTAATAATCCATATTTATAGCAATAAAATACTATCGTTCCTTCACCAAGTAATAAGATAAATTAGTAATTAAAAATATCTAGGATCTATATTATTTATAAGGGACCAGAAATACCTTGCTTACGTATCATTAGAAAATGCATTAACATAAATACGGCCGTAAGAAGAGGTAATACAAAAGTGTGTAAACTATAAAAACGAGTCAAAGTGGATTGTCCAACACTAGCACTTCCGCGTAATAATTCTACAAGAGGCGATCCGATTACCGGAATAGCATCAGGTACACCTGTTACAATCTTGACTGCCCAATAACCAATTTGATCCCAAGGTAAAGAATAACCTGTTACACCAAAAGATGCGGTCAATACACCCAGAACGACACCAGTAACCCAAGTTAATTCGCGAGGTTTTTTAAAACCACCGGTGAGGTATACACGAAATACGTGCAGGATCATCATTAGGACCATCATACTTGCCGACCATCGATGAACTGATCGGATTAACCAACCAAAGTTAGCTTCAGTCATTATATATTGAACTGAAGCAAAAGCCTCAGTAACAGTTGGACGGTAATAAAAAGTCATAGCAAATCCCGTAGCTACTTGTACTAAAAAACAAGTAAGGGTAATGCCTCCTAGACAATAAAATATGTTGACATGCGGAGGAACGTATTTACTAGTTATATATCATCTGCAATCGCCTGAATCTCAAGACGTTCTTCGAACCAATCATAAACTTTATTGAGATAGGTAAACCAAAGTTCCTCTCCCTCCAAGAACTGTATATGAGAATTTTATCTCGTACAGCTCAAACAAAAAAAAAAACCCATATACGGATTGAAACGGATATGGAATATAAAGTTTTAAACTTCTCTCTCATTCAATATTATTTAAAGATATGAAAGAGTCAAAATGCAAAAGCTCTTCTTTGTGGTTAAATGCCAAAAAATCAAGTCCGCTCATACGTCTTTATGTTGTGTTGATCGTTACAGGCCTCTTGAATCTTCTAGATTACCTATCTTTATTGTCTTTTTTATTTGGTATTTGTATGGAATGGGAATGCAGATTTCTTCTTGTTTTCTTTATTATTGATAGGAATTCCCTTGTTAAGACCCTACTTAACTAATCAATTGAAACCTTAGATTCATACGAGAACCACGATAATTCAATGAAACCTTCAAAGTCTAGGGTTCACTGAGTGAGAACCATTGGATCATCACTTATTCAATCAAAAAAAGAGCTATAATGATTAAAAACATAAAATACAAAGAAGCGTTTGTCCTTTGATCCAAATAAGAGTTTAAAGAAAAATATTTTTATTTATTAAAGTTTA